TATTGTCGGTAATTCTACCAACTTTATTACAAAATGGATATAAATGCTCTGGAAAATGTACAGAGGAGGATGACAAAGATGATCCCATGTATCAGAAATCTTCCCTATGAGGAAAGACTGAAGGCCCTGAATCTGCACTCTCTCGAAAGGTGTAGAATTAGGGTTGATATGATCGAGGTGTATAAATGGAAAACAGGAATAAATAAAGGGGATGTAAACAGAGTGCTGAAAAATTCCAGCCAAGGCAGGACTCGGCAGCAATGGTTTCAAGTTGGAAAAATTCAGATTCAGGAAGGATATAGGAAAGCACTGGTTTGGTAAAAGAGTTGTGGATGAGTGGAACAAACTCCCGAGTACAGTTATTGAGGCTAAAACGTTGTGTAGTTTTAAAAATAGGTTAGATAAATACATGAGTGGGAGTGGGTGGGTGTAAGTTGGACCTGAATAGCTTGTGCTGCTGGGTCTGGTGCCGTGCTCCTTCCTTGAGTGGAGGTGACCAGATTGGATGGGTCATTGGGCTAATCCGTGGAGGGGGTCATTGGGCTAATCCGTGGAGGGGGTCATTGGGCTTATCCGGAGGGGGGACATGGACCTGCTCTGCATGGGTCAGTAGGCCTGTTGCAGTGTTCCTTCTTTCTTATGTTCTTATGTTCATGTGGAGAGAACGAACACAGGAGCTATAGTGCAGCGTGTTCTTGACCTTTTACTTGACAATCTCAACAATACGCGGTAGAACTATTACACACTGAATTACTTTCCTGTTGTGAAATACCGCAAAACAAAACCAATCTTGATCCTAGTGTAGTGTATCAGTGTGTGTTGCTACCAGTCTTAAGTGAGAGACACTGCCACTTCAATCAAGACATCGGATACCAGAATGGCATTTTCCCTACAAAAAGCCAGGGAAAAATTTGTGGGTCAGATACAAATACCCAGGAAAGTCTAGACAGTCACGCATATAGTTAGGTTGGCTGCACAGCAGATAGGTTGTATTCTCAGTAGTACCAGTTACCAGTAACCAGTAACCAGTTACCAGTAGTATGACTCACTACCAATCGTCTGTGTGAATCACTGACTGCTATTCATGTTGCTGCTGACCATAGCATGTTTTTGAACGCTGCTCACTCCGTAGGCACTGGTGGGTCAGTCTGAGATAGAGAGCAGAGAGAGACAGGGCAGCTGATGGTGCTTCCCATACTTTCCGTTATAATTATACGTACTAACCAGCCTACGTGAGTGTTTTTACCCCATCCACGTTATTGAACCCACATAACAATTTGGTGACAGCGGTGTGAGCGTGGATTTAAGGGTATTTCCGACGTCAGAAGATTGTTTGTGGGGTGCCGGCAGGTCAGAGGTGAACCGTCTCTGCCACCTCCAGCTAGAAGCTTAACCTCATTCGCCTCCACCCTGTGTACTCCAGCCTGCAAGCAAGTTGTAGCCGTCTTTCAAGCTTCCTGGCTTAGTTCGTGTGGTAATTTCTTCAATCTCCGAGGGGTTGACCCTGATTTTGCAATTAAGCCAGCCAGTAAGGCAGACTGTGGAAGTGAACGCTAGCCAGCCTGCCTCAGCCTATCATACAGCCTGTCTCCTGTCATCCACCTGCTCCTTCATGCTGTGTGCATCGTTACAAGCCATTCTCGTGGGTTAAGCCAGTTAGCCAACCCAGCTGAGAGAGAGAAGTAAGCCACGCAAGTTCTTCTGAAGTATTGTCTTCTATATCGCTTTGTGCTCCCAGTTGGATGCTAAGAGTGGTCTTCACCATCCCTGTGGCATATTGTGGCTTAGTTAAGCCACCTGGGTGTTTGTGAGTAGTGAGTGGCAGTGCACGCCAATGGGTCGGGTTGCCACACCCACCCGCCACCCACTCCCCACCTCATCTACCTGTGAGATTTTCCACCCTGGTCCTAGTAGTGTTTTGGCTCATATAATTGGTCAAGCTGTGCGCCAACGATAAAGCCAGTTATGTGAGTTCACTTGGAAAGCGCATTTCTTCACGACAACAGTGTGAGTGTAGGAGGAATCATCACTAGCACAGGACAGCGTCTTCACCTCGTCACTCGTCACCACCGTCTACCACTCCAGACTTCAGTGATAATTTTCTGTTTAGAGACATTTTCCTGCATTTAAAGACATTTGCGTGTGTGAGACATTTACAGTAAATTTCTTGTGTACTCTAAGCCTTGTGTTTTCAGTGTAGACTCTGTGTTTCTTTGACTCATTATATTTGCAATATTTTTCAGTGTTATCGCTCATCTATCGTGTTTCACTTTTATATTTTTAATCTGTGTGTTTTTATGCTACTCTCTTCCTTTAGTAAGTATTATTTTGTAGTGTTCAAGTGTATTCCTTATTTCTGTGCAATATTTTCTTCTTTACACCAGTCATTCACTGCGTGTGAAGTCATTCATTATTTTTTTTTATCTTGTGTTCTTTCAGCATTGTATTCTCAAGTATTTGTCATTATTGTAGTTCATGCAGTGATATTCACCCAAGTATACTAAATTATCCATTTATTTCTATGTACCTTTTTTATTTTTTTTTCCGTACACCAGCAGTGTCTCATTCCCTTGATTTTTCTCGCAGACTTGTGTACCATTATTTTTGCCAGTAATTTTTGTGGTATCAGTCACAGCAAGATTTTGTTGTAAGAACATAACTAATAAGTGTACAATCCTTGTTGTGTGTGCCCTGCCACTTGTAAGTGTTGTGTGCCCTGCCACTTGTAAGTGTTGTGTGCCCCTCCACTTGTAAGTGTTGTGTGCCCCTCCACTTGTAAGTGTTGTGTGTGCCCTGCCACTTGTAAGTGTTGTGTGCCCTGCCACTTGTAAGTGTTGTGTGCCCCGCCACTTGTAAGTGTTGTGTGTGCCTGCACTTGTAAGTGTTGTGTGCCCCCCCCACTTGTAAGTGTTGTGTGTGCCCTGCCACTTGTAAATGTTGTGTGTGCCCTGCCACTTGTAAGTGTTGTGTGTGCCCCGCCACTTGTAAGTGTTGTGTGTGCCCTGCCACTTGTAAGTGTTGTGTGCCCTGCCATTGTAAGTGTTTGTGGTGTGCCCTGCCAATTTAAGTGTTGTGGGCCCCTCCACTTGAAAGTTGTGCCCCGCACTTGTAAGTGTTGTGTGCCCCCCCACAGAATGTTTGTGCCCCGCCCCTGTATGTCGTTTTGTGCCATGCCACTGTAAGTTTTGTGTGCCCGCCACTTAAAATTTTTGTGTGCCCTCCACTGTAAGTGTTGTGTGCCCCGCCACTTGTAATGTTTGTGTTGCCCGGCACTTGTAAGTGTTGTGTGCCCTGCCACTTGTAAGTGTTGTGTGCCCCGCCATTTGTAAGTGTTGTGTGCCCCGCCACTTGTAAGTGTTGTGTGCCCCTCCACTTGTAAGTGTTGTGTTGCCCTGCCCCTTGTAAGTGTTGTGTGTGCCCTGCCACTTGTAAGTGTTGTAGTGCCCTGCCACTTGTAAGTGTTGTGCGCCCTGCCACTTGTAAGTGTTGTGTGCCCCTCTACTTGTAAGTGTTGTGTGTGCCCTGACACTTGTAAGTGTTGTGTGTGCCCTGCCACAAGTAAGTGTTGTGTGCCCTGCCACTTGTAAGTGTTGTGTGCCCCTCCACTTGTAAGTGTTGTGTGTGCCCTGCCACTTGTAAGTGTTGTGTGTGCCCTGCCACTTGTAAGTGTTGTGTGCCTTGCCACTTGTAAGTGTTGTGTGCCCTTCCACTTGTAAGTGTTGTGTGTGCCCTGCCACTTGTAAGTTTTTGTGTGCCCCGCCACTTGTAAGTGTTGTGTGCCCCGCCATTTTAAGTGTTGTTTGTGCCCTGCCACTTGCAAGTGTTGTGTGCCCCGCCACTTCTAAGTGTTGTGTGCCCCGCCACTTGTAAGTGTTGTGTGTACCCCTCCACTTGTAAGTGTTGTGTGCCCTGCCACTTGTAAGTGTTGTGTGCCCCGCCACTTGTAAGTGTTGTGTGTGCCCCGCCACTTGTAAGTGTTGTGTGTACCCCTCCACTTGTAAGTGTTGTGTGTGCCCTGCCACTTGTAAGTGTTGTGTGTGCCCTGCCACTTGTAAGTGTTGTGGTGCTTGGGCCCCTTGTAAGTGTTGTGTGCCCTTCCACTTGTAAGTGTTGTGTGTGCCCTGCCACTTGTAAGTGTTGTGTGCCCCGCCACTTGTAAGTGTTGTGTGCCCCGCCATTTTAAGTGTTGTTTGTGCCCTGCCACTTGCAAGTGTTGTGTGCCCCGCCACTTCTAAGTGTTGTGTGCCCCGCCACTTGTAAGTGTTTGTGTACCCCCCACTTGTAAGTGTTGTGTGCCCTGCCACTTGTAAGTGTTGTGTGCCCCGCCACTTGTAAGTGTTGTGTGTGCCCCGCCACTTGTAAGTGTTGTGTGTACCCCTCCATCCACTTGTAAGTGTTGTGTGTGCCCTGCCACTTGTAAGTGTTGTGTGCCGCGCCACTTGTAAGTGTTGTGTGTGCCACGCCACTTGTAAGTGTTGTGTGCCCCGCCACT